CTTTAGCTGTCTAACACAGTATGTGCTGACTTTCTCCTTTAATTTAAGAGGAATTTACATCCAAATGGGGTGAACAGTGTAAGAGTTACAACCACTTTCCTACATATCACCCCGTTTTAAAGACTCGAAATTAACTGGACAATTGGCTGCTCAGGTGTTCCAATAAACATTAGGTATGGTCAAATCTCTATGGTATATGCTTAAAAAACACACTGGTGAGCTAAAAAACACCAAAAGACCTAAAAAGACCCCTAGAAAACCATTCACTACAGTTAAACTCAGTTAAAATCTAGAACCTATTGGGCATTTCAGTGTAAATTCATTAGGCTGTCTTAGAATTTACCAACTGCTGTCTCATATGCATTGGTCAAGGTGTGCAAGAGGACTTGAATAGATTAGTCAATGTCAGTGTGTAATATTACTAAAGACTTTACCGAAACAACTTGAAACTGTAATTATTGTGAAAGGAGGTTGACTGCACAGTCAGATGACCAGTGTGGCTGCAGGTTTTCATTCCAAATGGGCAGAAACACACCTGGTTCTGCTTGTTTAGTCAATTGCTCTGTCTTCAAACAACTGATCATGTGTGCTCTTGCTTTGTTGGAATGAAAACCTGCAGCCACGCCAACAATGAGCTTGAAAGATAATTGCAGCTGAAGTGACAAGTGACAATGAGTCCTTAAGGAAAAAAAGTCCTTCCTGTTCCTCCTGCTAACTACATTCATCTCATAGCCCAGTGTGTTTACTTCCTGGTGGCTCTTTGCATTTTTGTTTTGTTTTGTTTTTTTCTCTTTTGTCTACTTCTTCAGAGATAATCCTGCAGAAACTGGTATTTCCTCATATTACCTGTCACAGTCAATAAATGACTGAATCTTGCTGTGCTGCAGTACATTCTTTCAAAGGAGGTTATTCTCTAGAATACTCTAGAAAACCCCTTTACAACAGTTGGACAGACTGGAGACCCAGAGTTCCTGTGATGGTAAAGACATTTGTGAGGTCTACACAGAGAGGGAGACAGCTGTGGAGTCTCAAGCGGTCCAGTTCTTTCAGGTCAGGACACACTTCCATCTCTCTCCCTGGATGATCTGCAGTGGTGTCAGGAAAAAGGACCAGTTATCTCAAAGATCCTGTTTGTAGAGCAAAAAAGACATCCATCTAGACAAGAAAAGAGCACACTGAGTTCTGCAGATCAGATTTGATTTTATTAAAGCAATGGGACAAGATTGTATGCAGAACAGAATACTCTGTAGGGTGACCAAGAATCCAACTAGTAGGCAGAATAGGTTCCAGTATTTTCCTTCTGAAAGTCTCCAGCAAAAAGCTTTGTCTGGTTTGCACAACATGGCTGGTCATGAAGTTCAGGTTGATACACTGGTGTTGGTCCTCGGTGACGGTCCGCTTGTTCCTTGTGCTTCTGGAGTACCGCTTCTATTCACTGATGAGCCTCCTCCCATACTTGCTCGCTCCTATTTATCCATTCATCTACAGCGGGGATGTCCGTCTGTACACCAGTCCAAGGGGCTAAAGGTGGTTGGTATCCTAGGAAACACTGGAATGGTGTCATGCCTGTAACAGAACTGGTTAATGAGTTTTGTGCCATTTCTGCCCAAATCAAATACCTTGCCCAGTGCGAAGGGTTGTCATGAGAGAAAACCCTCAGGAATTTACCCAGTTCTTGGTTTACTCTTTCGCAGTGTCCGTTTGCTTGCGGGTGACACCCCGAAGTCAGACTGACAGAGACCCCCAAATGTTCAAAAAACGCTGCCCACACTTGTGACGTGAATTGGGGTCCTCTGTCAGACACTATGTCTTTGGGGATGCCGAAGTAACGAAACACCTGTTGGAACAATGTCTCGGCTGTTTGAAAAGCACTAGGAATTGTGGAAAATGGGACAAATCGCACCCCTTGTGAGAACCGATCCACCACCATCAGAATGGTGGTGAATCCTAGAGATTCTGGCAAGTCAGTCACAAAATCAATGGCTATGTGGGACCAGGGTTGGAGTGGTACTGGTAATGGCATGAATTTGCCAGCAGGAAGCGCTTTAGGTGTTTTACACTGGGAGCATACTGAACATGAGGAAACCAATGCATGAATGTGTTTGCTCATCGATTCCCACCAATATCGTTGTGCGAGGAGTTTGTGAGTTCTTGTCTCCCCAGGATGACCAGATGTTAGAGATGAGTGGGCCCATGTGATGAGTTGCATGCGAAAGTCTACTGGGACATACAATTTCTCTGGGGGACACTGAGTGGGGATTTCTAGTGCGCTATTGGCGCGTTCAATTTCGTCATCGATTTCCCATCTAATCGATGAAATGTTCACTTCAGGAGGCAGAATGCGTTCCTGTCATTCTGTTTCTGAGGGGGCAGGTTCTTCCTGATGTAGGCGAGACAGGGCATCAGCTTTCATGTTACGAGATCCAGGCCTATAGGTGATACTGAATCGAAATGGAGAAAAGAACAGAGACCACCGGGCTTGGCACGCATTTAACCTTTTTGCATTACGGAGGTATTCAAGATTTTTGTGGTCTGTGATTACAGAAAAGGGATGATTTGCCCCTTCCAGCCAGTGCCTCCATTCTTCCAATGCTAATTTCACTGCTAGTAGCTCTCCTATTCCACGGTTCCTCTCTGCCAGTGATAACTTATGAGAATAGAAAGCTATTTTTTTAAATGAGTTGTTGGCATCAAATTCAAAATGGGCATATATTTTTCAAAAAACAATAAAATTTCTCAGCTTCAACATTTGATATGTTGTCTTTGTACTATTTTCCTTTAAAATGTGGTTTACATGATTTGCATATCATTGCATCCTATTTTTTACTATTTTACTATATATATATTTTTTTGGAAATGAGGTTGTATTTCTTGCATTTAAAATTTTAACAAGTTTAAGGAGTAATAACAAGTCACAGTAACAACATTATGCATGATATAGACGTGTTTTGGTGTAATTTTGTTTTTTAGTAGTGAATGTTTTATTTACATTTAAAAGAAGAATACAGTTCATGCAATATCTTATATAATCACCTATTTATCTAAAATATTTATGTTAAACAGTCACAATATGAAAATGTCTTGAGAGCATAAAACAAACAGTTGAATATAAAATACAACTCCAGATAAATTTGTAATAATACATGAAAAAAACTAAATATAAAACAAAACTCACACTTAGCTAGTAAGACCAGTAAGATTGCCAAGATTCCACACATTTCTATGAGATTATCTTTAAATTCTTGTTGAACTGAAAGTTTAACAAAAAGTGTTTAATTTAATTCTAAATTTTAATAAGTTTAATGGGTGATAACAGATGAAAGAGTTGTGCAAAGCAGGATGAACATACTGTGACATGTTAGCAGATTAGCAGATAGCCTAGCATATATGAGCATAGCAGTCACTGAGGTAGCAACCACAACAGCAATGGAATGAAGTATTTGGTTGATATAGTATTCTAGCAGCTGATAATGTTAAATAAGTGTGCAAAAATGCAAGAAGACAGATTAACAAGTTATATCAAATGACGTATTTCAGTGAAATGCAGTAATTATATTTAAATACAGTGTCAAAGACATAAGAGTGGAGGGTGGTCTCATATTATTATAACAACATATATATATATATATATATATACATACATACATACATACATACATATACATACATACATGCATCCTTCAATTCAGTGGGAGTTGAGGAGTCTGATGGCTTGTGTAAGGATGTAATTCCCAAACCAGGCAGTAATACAGCTGGTAATGATGGTCTCTATAGTGTCTGTCTAGAAGGAGGTAAGGATGCTGAATCTCTAGTTTTCTCTGCATTCCTATTAATCTAGAATAAGTACCTATACATTCTTGTATGAATAAATTACCCCTTAAAGCTTTCACTAAAGCTATCACTTGTGGTTCTGGGTGCAATTACCACAATTCAGTAGACAGATCCCCGTCTACAGGAAAACCCTAACCTGAGATTAACCTAACTGTGTCTTTATGATGTGTGGGAAAACAGGTGGTTTAAGTGGTCTCGTCCTGCTACAGCTATAAAACATCAAGAATGAAACTATAACCAATATCCAGAATGCCTGACTTTTGATAAAAGGTGATCTCAGTCGTCTTTTGGGGCCAGGCTTTATCTCATAATGATGATCTAACAAGGGTGAATCCTTCTAAGGCCTGACCTCAAATTCCTCTTGTGCTCTTTTAACAAGTAAGCTAGCTACTGAAATGCTCTTGTTAGCAGAACTGTTTCTAATTCCAAGAGATAATGTTTATTTTTACTGCATGCAATATGTTCTGGTTAAAGCTTAAGAAGTTCAAACAAATAACAAATCCTTTATAAGCAAGGATGGTTTGAGGCTCAAAGTGCTTGTAGAGGTCCATAAATCATGTTGCTCTGCTCCCACTCCACACTGCTCACATGCTCAGATGTGTGGAGTTCAAAAATTCAGTTTGCATGTCTTCAGCCTACATTTACACCCCGTGCAAAATAAAGGGTTAAGATTTAAGATTTGAGTCCAGATTTACATCCTATGAAGAATATTTGATCTCACATTAAACACAAACTGCCTTGGCAAAGTTTTTCAACTGTTTGAAGCAGTCAATGCTGACTGGAACAATATTGACTCTTCTTTTTGTAAAAGCCCATCTGCAGGTTTAGCTACAAGACTTTAACATTTAAAGAAATGAAAGGAAAAGCTCTCCCACACTAACATATTGCCTCTGTTTGATTAATATTTTTTGTAAAGAGCATAAAAGCCATAAGTTTTGACATTTTGGGCTTGGCTTTTTTGCACACAAGTGTGTCAATATTTGGCCTCAACTGAAAATATTTTTACTGTTCAGCCAAGACAATCATGAAAACTTGTACCTGTATTGCCTGCATGTTTTATGCTTTCTTTTTTGTCAGTCTCTTCAAGAAAATGTCTTTTTCCTCATACTTCTATAGCTGTTTGTAATTTGAGTGCCTTTATACATTCGAAATGAATAAGTCAGTCAAAATTCATCATTTATAGCTTTTTATTCAAACCCTTTGAGAGGAAAAATAGACCCAAAAATTAAAATAAAACATGAACAGTAAACAGCCACCAATACATTTACAAGAGGCTATAATTTGTAGCCCAACAACATCATGTGATTATATGAATTTTTTAACTACCACACATCTAGAAAACCCAAAAGCTTTTCTCTCTGCATTAGAAGTTTGTATTTGAAACAACAGAATTTCTTGTAATAGTATTGATATGATATGTCTTCAGCCCTAAGCTACTCATTAGACATGTTCTTAAGCTGCTCGTTTAATCTTCATCACCACGGTCTTGAGAGAGTAATTACAGCCTTTCCAGTTGCACCAAACGATTGCCGCATTTTGTGGAGCTGAAGGTCCCCACTTGTACAGGCCGTTGAGGTTGGACACGAGGCAGTTGTTGAACCAGTATCCTCCAGAATTGCTGACTGCGCAGCCATTGGTGTCCCTGTCATAAGTTGCAAACTGCATGTCGTTGTGATAGAACAGCGATTCCCCTAGAAAAGGCATTATGTTTTCAATGCATGATACTTTAGAACGACACCCAATTGTAGTAACTGCAAAAAACCCTTTGCATGAGCTCACAATGATGACCTGTTAATTCACTCACCTGCTCCTCCGTTGATGAAGCCAGAGGCATGCAGCTTGTACCTGTATGTCTCGGAATCAATGGAGAAGGAGGTGTAATGGGCGTAAACGCTCCCTTTATCAAAATCTTCCATGTAAATTCTCAGCTCATATTTACCTCTTGAGGTAATAAGGAAGATGTTCTGCAGACCTGTCATCAAAAACATCATTCACATTGTTTCCAACAACAGTAATGTATTGCATTAAATATACTGCTTTATTTCTTAGTTGATCGAAGTCAAAAACTGGTAATAAAAAAATGTTATAAAATGTACACAAAAAAAAAACACGAATCAATCATTTTTTAAAATGTTACTAAAAGGTAGAATTGAAGTACAATTGCTAAGCTAAATGAATGCAAATGTAATAACTAACAAAGTCTTGTCTAGTTGCTTTCAAATTGTCCACCTGCTTTTTTAAAAATCCACTTCCATGCCATCCACAACATTAGTCATCTCTCATTTCACTGATTTACCTAGCCAGTATTCACCGCTTGCGTTCCCAAACCCATTCTTGTACTCATCCCAGGGTCTGTAGAAATTCACGCTGCCATCCATTCTCCTCTGAATCACCTGAAAGAGACAGTAAGTAGTGAAAGTGTGTATGAAACAATGATAAAAAGCATGTATGTTAAGGTTTTAAGGTATCAGTGTTTGTTAATTAATTCCCTGAATACTCAAGACACCTGACCCAGCTCATTAATTGATCATGGAGACCTTCATGAGTTGGAGCAGGTGGGTTGGGGCAGGGAATAGTTGAGCCCACAAAGTTCTGCGGGTCTTTTGAAGCAGGATCAAGAAACCCCTCAATATTTCTCATTTTAATTCTGTATTAAACTTTGCCACTCACTGTCCACCTCCCGCGGTCTTCATCACAGCCCATGTCACAGTAAACCTGCACTGGTTTATCAGGTCCTCCTGGGTAGATGGTGTAGACACCAGTGTTCTGAGAGATATTAATGTAAACATCTTCACAGTCCTGAGGCAGATATGCAGGGGCCGACTGCACCACCAGGGGGAGCACTAGAGCCAACAGCAGCTGAAAGCAGGAGAGAGAATGAGAAATGTTTAGAAGAGACAGACGATTGAGAGACAAGGTGTTTATAAAAAATTGAACAGTAATTAAGCAGTTGGCAGCTTTGGTAATGCAAAAAAGTTTTAATATCACAATAGTTCAAGTAAATTTTAAAATGGTATATTCCAGAGTTACACATTTTTGATAAAAGATACTTTAATGATCTTACCATGGTAATACAATCTTCTTCCTGTAAATAAATAAATATCAGTTAAAATGTTTTTATTAGCAGTTTTAAATCTTTTGTAAAGATCGTCGATTAGGATGGTTGCAGGTGGTTTTCCTGCTGTGTAATTATTGAATATTCTAATATTACAGTAAATGGATACTCACCAGTGCAGTTACGGGGAATCTCTTAACACTGCAAAAGTTCTTCCTCATGCAGCTAGATGCAAATGCATGAAAGTGATGCTCCCATGCTTCCTTTTTATATGTTCACCGGTCATTGTTTTTTCTGTCATTTTGGAAAACTACCAAGTCAGAAAAATGTCAAGAGATGGGGCTCACAGGAGGAAATGACAAGGGACTTCACAAGGAAGTTTTTCAATTACTGATGTGGGAGATATATGATCACTCAACAGTTCAGAACACAGCAAAAAGCTGAGACTGCTGCCAAGTTTGAATGTCAAAGGGGTTCACTTAAAGATGTCACAAGTCACCAGTACCAATTAGTGAGGACAACTTTGAAAAGATCTTTGAAAATAACTGAATACACAATCTAAATATTGTAAAATATGTTTATTGTGTCTAAGCACAAACCTTTCAAATAGTATCTTCTTCTAAATAAATCTTGGGTGTGGTTTTGTAAACTTTACATAATATACAAATTCAATTCCAGAAAGGTTGTGACAATAAAATGCAAATAAAAACATAAAGCAGTGATAAAGCAGTGATCTTTTTGACTCCTTTAAAATGGTACAAAGACAAGATAATATTTCAACAATTAACTTCTTATTTTTGTATATATATCCTTCTTTTAAATTTGATACCAGCAACATGTTCCAAATAGTTTACTACTGTGTTATATCACCTTTCAACAACGTTCAGTAATCATTTGGGAACTGAGAACACCAATTGTAATGGTGAAAGTGAAACTTTTTCAGGGGTTGTCAGGGGTTGCCAAGTCTCACACAATGGCATACCACCCGATGGAAAATAGAGGAACTGAAAGGTTCAATAGAACGCTGTGGAATATGCTTTATACCTTTCCCTTGAAATCCAAGCACCAGTTGTCGCAGCAAATACAAGCTCTGACTTTTGTTTATAACAATGCAGTACATGAATCAATAGGGTACAAAAGAACAGCTTTGAAAGTAGGGGACAGGGTTCTCCTCGCAACAATGGGGGAAAACTAGGAAAAAGAAAACTGGCCAATTGGTGGGAATCAATCATGCATGCCATCATCGAGAGATATCCTAAGACCCATATCTATAAAGCTGAAGATGACAAAGGAAGAGTCTGAGTTGTTCATTGGAATCTGATTCTGGATGTGAGCTTTCTGCCAATCCCAAAGACAACCAATGATGTGTTTTTCTCAGTTGATTCAGACAAAGAAGCTGAACTTCAGTCTACTGACTGTGATTGTCCAGGAGAAGACATTTCTGATGTTTCTGGAGACTCACAGATAGTGCCTGAGATTATAGATCATTCAACTTTTGTGGACGAAAGCTCTGAAACAACCAAAGAAATGACCTGTGCCCAGTGATGAGATGCCTTTCAGAGACAGTCTGAATAAACAAGGGCCAGTCTGTCCCATAGTCCTAATAGAACACCAGACTTGACTAACTTGGACATAACTCGTAATGATTTAGACACAGAAATACACACAAATTGAAGCTGAAAGCTGGTGTCCTGAGTTTTATTACAACACCACACACAATGCGGATGAAGTAAGGGAGGGCATGAACCCAGCTATAAAAGCATATAATTGTTTAAAAACGTCTTTGTATGCTGTAGCAGTAGCATCACCCATCACTGGAACTAAGGGGCCCAAAGCCCTGAAAAACAGCCCCAGCCCAAACTTTCCTCCTCCAAACTTTCCTTCCTCCTTTCCAACCCTCTTCCAGCACTATGCATTCCGGTAGATAGCGTTCTCCTGACATCCTTCAAACCCAGATTTGTCTGTCCAACTGTTCTTATCACTCCAGAGAACGTTTGCACTGTTCCAGAGTCCAGTGATGGAGTGCTTTACATCACTTCAGCTGACACTTGGCATTGCGCATACTGATCTTAGGCTTGTGTGCAACTGCTTGGCTAAGCAAACCCATTTCATAAAGCACCCACAGCACAGTTCTTGTGCTAATGTTGCTTTCAGAGGTAGTTTGGAACTCTGTAGTAATGGACACAACAGACTATTGGCATATCAGCATTGTGAGTTTGCATGATCTACTACCTAATGCTCCTAGATGCTCCCAATTTACAATAATAGCACTTACAGTTGACCAGGGCAGACCTAGCAGGCCAACTATTGTACACCAAAACGTTGGTGTTGAACCTGTGGCAGGTCAAAAGGTTCCAGTTGCTCTGACAATGCTAATCATTCATCTAGGTTGTTGCCATGCCAATGCCAGGATCAACTGCAATTGGTAAGTGAGTTCATGTCGCCAGTCAAATGCAAATAAATAATGTCGTATTGTTAATGTCTAAAAATTCACATTTGGAAACAGTCTCTGTTTCATGTTGGGGTTAACAGTGGCTGCAAGTATGGCAATATACTTGCCAGAGTACAGTGCAATCTGTAGCAAAACATACAGATAACTGTTGTGTTTGGTGGCAATGGGGTGACACATGCAGCTGCTGTTAGCCATGGAGCTAAAAACAAGACCAAAAACACTCATCATGATATAAATACCTGAGGCAGAGCTGATAAGAAAAACATTGATTTACTTTCTCAAAAAGCATGTTTGACAAAAGGAAATGAATTTTTTGCAGGTCGGGATTTTTTCATTCACAACATTTCCTTTTTAAAGAAAGCATAATTGTTCCCAGGGCCCTTTTGTATCTCAACTTTATAAGTATGATACATTAAGGGAGTTCTGCAAAAGAATTATGGGGTCATGGAGTTACTGAAGGTTATACAATAAAACACCCATGGGTGGAAATTAAGGCTTGATTGTATTTCACGTATCATTGAGTAGGATGATTAATATGATTAAAATTTGGATGATTTAAGTCCAATTTACTCAGACGGCTTATTTCTTGATACGCCATAGGGCTGAAAGTATGTGGACACCCCTCATAATTATTGTCAGTTGTATTTCAGCCACACCCATAGCTAACAGGTGTATAAAATCAAGCACATAGTCATGCAATCTCCATATGAAAACACTGGTGGTAGAATGAGTCACACTGAAAAGCTCAGTGGGACACATTCACCAACCGTTCTTAAGAAGAAATTTCTTCTTAAAACCTATTTATGCAATTTTCACAAAGATTCTGACATTCACCAGTGTTTTCGTATTGAGGGTTTGTCCTTAGGTAAGAACACAGTCTATGCACACTGGAGCACAAAGGTGTGAACAATTCTGTGGTTTAAGGACACATCATGAATCTGACGTAGACTTTTTCTTGAGACCCTTCGCAACAACAAATTTAAGAAAAATATTAGTAAGATATTGGAGAATAAGGCCCAATGACTTTAAACATAGCACTTTCATAGGATGCCACCTTTACTACAAGATATACCCCGGTGAACTGTAAATGCTATTATTGTGAAATAGAAGTGTCTAAGAGCAACAACATCTCAGCTATGAAGCAGTAGACCACACAAACTCACAGTTTTGCTACCAGGTGCTGAAGCATGTAGCACATATAAATCACATCACTCACTAAACGATAAGAACTGTGTGTCTGGAGCCTCATGAAATGGGTTTCCTTGGCTGAGCAGCTGCAAACAAGCCTAACATCATGAAGCAATGTCAAAAAAAAATGGTTTACATTTTTTGCATTTAACAGATGCTTTTATCCAGAGCGACTTACAAAAGTACTTTGTTGTCTACTCAGAGAATGACATTCGATGACCATGGAAGGCACTGAAGGTGGGGGGGTTTGATGAGTTCTATGTGAAGGAACTCCAGTGGCCTGCAAATAGCCCAGACCTCAACCCCACTGAACACCTTTGGGATGAACTTGAACTATTGTGAGCCAGGCCCTCTCATCCAACATCATTGCCTTTTGATAAATGTCCTTCTAATGGAAGGGGCACAAATACTACATGTATTTGTGCATGACCCACTACTACGTGTCTTGAGCTGGAGGTTAGGGAACCAGACTTGTGTCCAGAAGGTCGCCGGTTTGAGCCCCTGAGCTGACAGTATGTGACTGAAGTGCCCTTGAGCAAGGCACCTAACCCCCAGCTGCTCCCCGGGCACTGTGGACAGGGCTGCCCACTGCTCTGGGCAAGTGTGCTCACTGCCCCCTATTTTGTGTGCATTCCCTACTGTGTATATGTGGGTGTTTCACTATACAGAGGTTAAATGCAGAGGTGAAATTTCCCCATTGTGGGAAGAATACAAAGTTTATGAAGAGCTCAGGATTGGAATATATTACCTGTGGTCACCCAACTACATTCAGATTGTAGACTTAGCAGATGTTTTTATCTACAGTAACTAATGAAAGTGTTTGTTTTTTATGTCCTTGGGCCACCCCCCAGCTAAGACGCCAAAGGCAAAAGTCAGTGTTGATAACTTGAACATAATACACAGATATTACAACAGTACTTACTTATTCCTGACAATCAGCTGCTTACAAACGAAATATTAAATGTCCATTACAGTTTATCAAAAATCTAAGTACAACTAAATATTTATATATATATATATATATATATATATATGAAAGAAAATGTCAAATGTCCATTATAGTTCATCTAAAATCTAAGTCAAACAAACAAATGAATAAATAAATAAATAAATAAATAAGCAGGGTAATCTTATAATCATCTGTGATTTTTTGAAAAATGCCAAAAGGTGAAACTCATAGGAGAAAATGACAAGGGACTTCACTGACAGGTTAAAAAAAACTTACAGATGATGACTGCTGATTGAGAAGAGATGAGCATCTGTCAACGGTTCAGAACATTGCAGGAATGCCATGACGGATGCCATGTTTAAATGCTAAAGGGCTTCAAATTCTCCAGTGGTAAAGTCTGAGTCAACTGAGCAGTCAGCGAGGACAACAGTCCAAGTCTTAAGAAATAGCTAAATACACAATCTGTATCTGAGAAAAACTGCATCTGATGAAACCTGAAGGGGTTCATTCTTCCACTGCCCATATGTGCATGCTTCAAACAGCATCTCCTTCTAAACCCATGTCAGTGGGTACAATTACTAGACTCTTTGCCAAAGCTACAACTTGAAGCTGTAATCATTGTCGAAAGTGGTCAACTGCATTGTTGCATGACTTCACAGGCAACACTTACAGTTTGTTACGTTAGT